TACAGGCAACACTATCGCTTATTTGCTCTGGTGGTTCTTCTGAGTCCAAGACCTTTTCTTTCTTTCCCTGGCCCCACAAGTGCACCCCGAAAAGCTCCCTGCTCCCCAGATCGGTCGTGAGAAGACAAACTTCCTGCCACTAGCACAATCTGGGCGGCTCTAGGACCCAGAGGGCTCAACCCATTTAACCCTTCCTCATCTGGTTCAGATAAAACTAAGCCGGGTTTGAATCAGAGCGGAGGATCTCGAACCTTTTTTAAAAAAAACAACAACAACCCGGGGGGACCTCAACAGTCGGAGCAGACGAAAGAGTAGTCAAGAAGGAAGGGTTCCTGAGCATGAGCAGAGTGCCACTCCAACGCCAGTGCATAAAGCACAGCCAATTCCCACATCTCTGGGATCACCAGGGGGAAGGACTTCCCAGGTCAGAGGGATGTGGTTTCCGGGCAGGCGCAAGCCCCGGCACCTCTTTATTTTGGAAATTAACCGCCGGCTGAAGCTCCAGGCTAGGTCAAGGAGAATAAGCCCGCAGGAACATTGGCCTTGGCTGAAGTTGCAGGATCGTGAAGCACAGCTCAGTGTTCTGTCCTTTACCCACCCGGTGCCAAGTGCATGCCGCTGGGCAGAACTTACGATCAGCCCGGGGGCTCACCAAAGGTATCGTTCTACCGTCCGAAGCTGCTGGATCAATCCAAATATCCCGAGTGTTTTATTACACCGGGGGTGGGACGGTGGGACGGGAAGTATTGTACCTATTCCTTTCCCCTGTTTGCTTTGCGCAGCGGTAGAGCATAGAACTGGGCAGTTCATCCGTGGCATGACGAAGAATGCTGTGTAGCCTGGAAATGTTTTGGGGAGGGGGGGGATGGGATGGAATGGATATTGCTTTTTTAAAAAGCCCATTGCTTGAGTGCTGGACTTTCGGGGGGGGCAGACCCTGCCAGACCAGTTTTAAAATGGTTAGCAGGAGGCGTTTAGGAGGTACTGTTTATTTTTAACTGTAAAGGGGGAGTTTGGAAATGCTGCTCAGCGGTTTGTGTTATAACCCGGCGTTAAGCGAAGGGGGGAACCAAGCTTCCTTCACTGGTTACCGAGGCTAATGGCATTGCAATCCTACGGCATGTTTGCCGGTAAGCCCGTTTGAACTGGGTGAGACTTACTTTTGAGCGAAGATGCGTAGGATCCGATTTCACGAGTCAAGAGAATGGAATGAAACCCTATGCACCTGTAGGAGCAGTATATAAAAGTGTATCCACACACTAGCCAGCCAGCTACGTTAATTGATGGGAGTCGACTTGAGCATGGGAAACACAACTTCAGAATTAAAGGATGGCTTACTCCAAGCGAGTGTGATTGGGGATACAGTGTGCATAAAGTTTGTCCAAAAGGGAATATCTGGCTAGTACATCT